TACGACTTTTGTATTAGTGCATAACGTCACACTCTAACTTCAGCCTGTGACGGCACCCGTGCTGTCTAAATGGTACTGAGTACCTTGTGGGCACGCCGTAACTCGGCGGCATGTCTCCTTTTCCTGACACTTCCGCTTTTTACCTTCTAAATGATGTCATCGAAACCTTCACCGAAACTCGGTTAGGCAAATCAAGGACATTATACACTCTGTGTATAATGTCCTTGGGCAAATACAACTTTGACAAAAGTGTTCGATCGAAAGATTGCCTAACACTAGACGCCATGGAACAAGCGCGGAAGTTAGAACTGGATTGCGACAGATTTGTTCTTGTTTTTATCACTGAGTCCCTGCCGCGGCTTCATTTCATGTTCTGTAGAGCCGGACTGACGGTACAGGAGGCAAACTGCCGAGTCGCTGCTTGTCTAGTTATGGTAAGTACATGCCCGTAGCCAGGATTTTGAATGGGGGGGGGGTTCTTCCCACTGCTTGAGGGGACCTCGAGCGCCTAGCGCCGAAGGCGCGAGTTTCCTAGGGGGGTCCGGGCATGCTCCCCCGGAAAATGTTGAAAAATGAACCTTCCAAAATTTTGAGAGGGTTTCCCAGAAAAAGTCACAGCTAGATTTTTATTCAATGACAAAGGGAGCATTTTTTCTACGATTCCAGTCCATCTTTTCAAGAAAAATTTTGGACCTTTACATATAATGTGGACCAAAAAGTGGACCTTTACATAAAAAGTGGACCAAAAAGTGGACCTTTGAGCCTTGTGGGGGGTTCTTCCGAAGAATGGATACTGCCTGGCCGATTTGATACTGTCTTTTGCCACCCTAGGGTCTGCTTGAAGATTGTGTTAAGTACACCAGATTGCATTTGGGGATAAAATGCTGTACAGACTTTGTGTACGAGTGTGTTTATTTATTCATTTATCGGTTTGGCTGTTCAACCTTCACAGCCAGGGCAGCTAAAGTAGCCAATGACTATTACAAAGGGCTCGCCCTGCTGACAAGACATGACGAAACATCGCGGCAACATATAAGGTTGCTTAACAATCTACAAAACTATTACACTATTTTATGTAAATAAAACTTAACGAGTGTGTGTGGCTTGTCTAGCGATACAATGCAGGTTTAAGGCTGTCAGTACACCAGGACTTGTTAAGAGGCGTTCCGCTTATGGGCTTATGTGAAGTTGTTTTCGGCTTATATGAACTTTGTAGCCCAATGAGTTGTTGTTGTTATTTTTTTCGGTTCGATAATCAGGCTGCGCATCGGTGGGCCAAAGTCGCGTCGACATTTAGTGGCATGCTTTGGATACTCTGGACACTTCTATCATGTCTGACTTTACATTAATTTTGAAAGCAGCTAGTCTACTCGGACATTGGCAGTATCGCCAGCGATTTTCAACCTACCTATCATAACCTATGGATTTTTAGCTCGAAATCCTCGCTTCTGGTACCACATTCGGTCCTGACTGAACTATGACATGACATCGATGACAACAGTAACTTACAAGTGAGTACAATTCTGAGTATCATAAGAGTGAGGGAACATGTTCTTTGCCATTTCTTTTCTCTACCAGGTATTGGACAGTCTGTGGCACTGGACACAGCAGGACAGAAACGTCAGCATGGAGAATGTAGGATTCTTCCAGCAAAGCCCCCCTCACACACGCGCGCATATAACAATGCAGCGTTACAGACAGCCCCATCCACAACCTCCTATGACCATCTTACTCGATCAGGTATGAACACGTATGTAACAGTTGGGGGTTTATAGGCGCTATCAACAGATCCGGCAAACGGGTCTAGACCTTTTCGGCCGAGCGGTTAGAGCGTCTGGTTATTCGGCTGGTGCCCAGGTTTGGTTGTGGGTTCGAACCCCAGCCCGGGACCAGGAGGGTTTTTATCTGTTTCTACTCGCTCCTCCTGTTTCTTACACGTAGTTTTGGTCATCCTTCCTACCGATACAGTTTTACAGTGAACATACCACGGACAAAGAACAGTCTGACGCGGCACGGAACACGGAAACAGCTAGCCTCTACCAGGCCTCGGGAGTCAGCTTGAAAGAGTAGAAATTGGCTAAATATAGAGATATAACATGTGAGGGGAGTTGATCTGCTAGAGATCTGCTAGAGATGTAGTAGTAGAAGTAGTAAGTAGTAAGCCTTTATTTAAACTCGAAAGCTTGTTCGGTACATACATATGACCGCTTTTCAACAAGGTCGAGGGTGAGGGCGGGGTCACGGATTACAAATCAAACCAAAATACAAATCAAAATATAATATAAAAATAAATAGTAAATCATCAGTCCGTTATCAGTCCAAGTTCCTTACTTCAGATCTAGCGGGCCAACTCCCTTGGCATGTTACCTCACTCAGTCTCTATTTCGCTAATCTCTACTCTTTCCAGCCGTTTCCCGAAGCCTGGTAGAGGCTAATTGCAACTTTTCGAACAACCCTAACACAGGATCGCATTGACTGTTGGGAGTTTCAGTGTGGCGTGTCCATGTATTGTAGCAAATCAGATCAGTGCATTTCGTTATGCTTGGGTGACATTTCCAAACCGGGGCCCGGTCGGGCAGTCTTACGGAACGAAAAGTATGATATAAAAGGCAACAAAGCACAGAAAAATAAAGCTGCAAAAAATTAATAATGGGAACTATTTGCGTATATTATTAGCTCTAGACAACTACCTTTTATCATGTAGATTTTAGTTATTTTATACTACGTTTCATTGTTCTTTTATGTTTGTGATCTGCACCATCGGGCATGAATTTGCAATAAACTTCAATTACTATTATTGATGTAAATTGTTGATTTTTCGTTAATCGAAATAGCCAGGCCGGGCCCCGAGTTGGAAATGTGACCTTAACATTAGCTCAACCGCTCACAAGGTGTCGCCAGTGAGTCAGATACTGGTCCGTCCAAATAAAAACTGCTTTTGAGATCCTTAGATTTTATCTAACTGATTTAAAAACGGGATTGAATGAACATTTATTCTGTCTTAATTTTATTCTTTGTATGTGACATTGCGTATTTTACCTGTTTATGTATTAGGGCGCCCACTGAAAAGCAGTGTTCCCACTGAGTGGGTTACTCTGGGTAAAAATGACGGAAAATAAGATAAACTAGAAGGGTAACATTTGCAAAGCAAATTCATAATGTTTACCCTCGTATATGGTCTGCTCTGTTAATTCTTACTCCAACACATTCATATGTATGTTGACAGTTATCCAAATCCCTCCTGCTATAAAATTGCAACATTATGTAACCCGACACCAGTTGCCATGGTCACAGCCGTCTGGCTCAGGTCATTGACCTTTTGTGTTTGGAGAAGAGGAACAGAGCAAAAACAATATGTTTTTCTTCGGTAAACATAATAAAACTGACTCTAATCTTCCTCAGATTCGTCCACTGTGCCATCGCGATCAGGAGTTTCTTGAGTTTGTGAGAGAAATGAACTACCAGATGAGCTTCAGAAACCACCTCGGTGGTCACGTCAGAGCTAACACCTTTAGCTGTGCGGCCATGTGCCGGGTACAGGGGGTGTGTAACGTTACAAAAAATAGGGGGCAGCGGGCCGTTAATATCGTAACTTGGGGAGGAAGTGTGCCACTGCCCCGGCATCTGAAAGAAAAGTACATCGACCACGCTTCGAGGTACATCTGGCACCCGCTGGTTGGGTTACAGGTGCTTCTGGGCGGTGAGAATTCGCCGTCAGGCCAGCTGCCTCGAGTGGTCCCCACCGACACACCACCGATGTTACTTTGTTCGACCTACACGTTCAATCAGCATTACGGCGGTGGCAGAGTGGAGGAGGTGTACCCGTGTAGTTACTGCAGAGCGATGTTTCCATCTTGGCGTTCTCCAGAAGGATATGTTCACTACACGAAACTCGGATCTAACGAAGGGGAGCAGAGCAACCGTTTTTCGAGGGGCAACTGCGCCGAATGTGCGGCGTTTAGCGACATGTTTCACCTCATCGGACAAAGCTGGAGAATTGTAGGTGAGGATCCGGGCGTAACCTTACGAAGATTAGGAGTGAGGCCACTGTTTAGTGTCGTCCAATGGCCTAGTGGCTAGCCACGGTGAGCGGACACAAGATCTTTTGATATGTACCGGACCAAGGGTTACAAATAAAACTGTAACACAGTTAACTAGTTGTAAAATAAATGTTACAAAAAGAACTTTTGAATCGGTCAGAATGGTTTGCACACAAAGTAGTAATTTTGTAGTTTTAGCCGTAGACAGAATTGCAGAACCTCTTTGTTAAGAATTAATTTCAAAAGTTAAAAAAAAATTATTATTCACATTATGGCACTACCGCAACAGGTGTTTCACCAAAATGTCCATTTTAATTAAGGTTTATTTAGGCTTGGGCATATTTTTTATGTGTTTTTATTGGGCTTTCTTTTTTATGATGGCATCTTTTTTTAAAGCAAATGCCTGGCAAATCATAACTTTCTGAGGCCAATTTGATATGGTTTTTATTCCAGCTACCAAGATCTGCTTGGAGATAACTGCAGTTTTTTTATCTCCTCCTAGTAAGGCCACGCCGACTTAATTTTATGGATGACATCCGCGCGCGCATTGATTTTCGCCTGTCGCCCTAAAA